GGGGGGGGGAGGGGGGAGAGCGGGAGAGAGAGAGAGAGAGAAACACTGATGTGAGAGACACATGGACTGGTTGCCTCGGCCGGGATCGAGCCTGCACCCGACGTACGTGCCCTCGGCCGGGATCGAGCCTGCACCCGACGTACGTGCCCTTGGCCGGAATCGAGCCTGGGACCCTTCAGTCCACAGGCCCCTTGACACTCTAACCACTGAGCCAGACCAGCCAGGCCCGTTTTTGTCTTGAGTGTGGCTACTGAAAAAGCTAAAGGACACACGTGGCTGGCATGACACCCCCGCCGGACAGTGCCGCCTCGGGCCGCCTGTGACATCAGTTACGCAGCAGACACGGGCAAAGGAAACGATGCAGTGCCCAGGCGAGCCCTGGGCTGTACCCCGGGCACGTTCGCCCTGCGGGATCTCCGTCGACCGCCCGCCCGCCCCGCCCGAAGCAAACGCCCGGCGGTACCTGGAGCTCCGAGGCGCTGCTGCGCAGCTGGCTCACGTTGGGGAGGGACCCGCCGTGGTACTGCGTCAGGCGCAGCTGCTGGAGCTTCTGGAACTGAACCTGGAAAGACAGAGATTTCAAGACCTTAGAGGCAGGGCAGCGAGGGCTGGGAAAGCATCCGAGCACGGCGTTCTGCAGCGAGCCGGCCCGGGGGGAAGCCTCAGTTTCGGTTTCTTCTCTGCCTAAAACCGTTAGGTTTCCGGTGCTTCGTGGTTTTCAATTGCTCTATTTTTGGAACGAATCTGCCCGTGTCCCAAATGTCCTGTGCGCCGCGAGAGCAGGGCACTCCGGCGGGGCCTCCGGGAGTGTGCGGGGAGGCGTGCAGGCACTGTCTTCAGCGGCGACAAAGAATTTCTTGAAGAAAACGAAGCCAGCCCAGCCGGTGGGGCTCAGCCTAGGATCCCGGAGATCCCGGTTCGATTCCCGCCAGGGCACATGCTGCGTGCTGGAGGCAGCCGGTCAAGGACTCCCTCGTCACTGATGTTTCCATCTCTCTCTCTCTCCCCCTTCCTCTCCCTGAAATCAATAAAGACATATTAAAAAAAAAAAAAATGAAGCCACGATCTGCGGCTCTGCAATGCTAAGGGCTCCCCCTTCCCCACGTTCTCTCCCAGCCGTTCACCGTCACGTGCAGTAACTGCACAGCTGTCGTCAGCACCCAGGTTCGATCCGAAGCCCTTTCTATATCATGCAATCGAATCTCATAGCAACACAGCCACTTCTCCTTCTGATCATTTCCACAGGACACATTCCAGAGAGCGATCCTTAAGTCTCTGGGCTCAGCACACACTGCCAGGGGGTTCCCCCGCAGGGTACACCGATGTCTGCGAGAAGACAGCTCCACCAAGGACCTCCCCAACCGGGGTCTGATCACCACGTGGGGCAGGAGGCCCCCTGAGCGGCTGCGCTTGGTACCTGCTGTGGCCACACGCCTCTCCGCTGCAAGTGCTTTGCTTTTCAAGAGGCAATAAACGGGTTACAGTTCTTGTAAACCCCAAAGGGGTCCGGTCTGGTCTTGAAGAGCCCTCCTTCTGAAATAATAAATGACCTCTGCGGTTACATAACCCCGGGCGTTTATAGTTCACGTTGGGAAGAAGGGGTAGACGGGGACCCTGAGGCCGGCTGTCGCCCTTCCGTTACCCTTCCTCTTTGTCTAATGAAAAAAAAAAAAA